AGCTGTGGTGCTGCTTCCAGGATGAAGGGAGCCATGGGTCTCTGCGGTGTGCCACAAGAGGGAGCCCAAAAATCCCCAAAAACACCTTCTACCACCAGCACAGGGCAGAATAAACTTTGCAGGAGGCAAAATATATTCTGACTATGAATGGTGGGTAGCAGAGGTGGTCTTTAGTCTGAGCCCAGCCTCTTGTGATCCTGACAGGGATCTTGTGTGTGGTGGCCATAAAGGCRGTCAGTGCTTTCAGATCTGGATCTTCAGAGTTAATCAGAGCTAGGGCCTGATCCACTCTGTTCAGTGGAATTTTATTCCCTGGAATTCAGTAGACWTTGGATCAGTTGACTGGCTCTGAATTTCAAGTGGTTTTTGGAGTGGATCTTACAAGCTACTGTCCTTCTCACAGATCTGAGTAAAACTGTGCTCAGGTTTCCACGAAGGCCGGAGAGCCAAAGGCTCTGAGAAACCCCGGTGTGAAGGAAKGGGGAGGACTGTTAATCACCTAAAAGCTGGAAAGTGTGGCTGTGGAATGTTAAATCCTGCCAGGCCAGTCTCTCCTCAGGTTCGGTCATTTAGGGACAGTTTCAGTCCCTGTCACTGTGGTGACTCAGGGTAGGGATCCAGCCAAGAAATKAAATAAACGGGAAGGAATATGGGAGTCACTTAAATCGGGGAATGGAGAACATGACCTAACTTCACCAGGCTGAACTCCTTTGAATTMTCTAGCTTGGGGGAGATACTTGGAGTGGTCTGAAAGGCCTTTCTAGGCTCTGATCTTTACCAAAACGTTCCTGTGGATGCTGGAGAATTCCCACTGCTCATCAAGTGCCATGCACTTGCAGGAATGGGCTGGATGTACTGGGGAGCTGCAGAATTTAGCTTTTCTCAAGAGGCAGGGTGAGGGAAAATCTTTGCACTTTACATATCCAAGAGGAGTTGCACAAGCTCATGGTGATGTTTACTGTTCTGGTTTTATGTTTTCCTAGCACAGAACTCCCCCTTTTGCTGGGATTATTTTGCAAGATGTTAACAGTGACTGAGAATTACAGACAGGATACTGCCAGAAGCTTTGCCCTCTCTGCCAGAGGTTAGCATCCACGGAGCAGAAGTGAATATATGCTACTTTGTGCTCAGCCAGTGTGTCTATCCTGGGGGCTGTGGGATTGGGGAGTTCATCCTGAGGTGGGCTCTTGTACTTCTCCCTTCCGCCCACTCAGCCGCTCTTCCTCATAGCCAAATGGCCTTTTAAGAGCTCGTGAAGCCGAGCTAGGAGGAGCACCACCTCCAGCGTTAGTCAGCCTGACAGCAGGATCCAACCTCACAGAGCACACCCCTGGGAAGTGTGGGAAGAGGGGGGATGAGAATCCCTGAGCACAGCGGGGAAGTGGGGAAAACGTCAGCCAGCTGCAGCGCTGCGGAGCGTGGAAATAGTAGCACAAGAGTTAGGGCATAAACCTTTAAAGTCCTGAGTGCCCTTAACTGTCATTGATTGCTGAAGAAGTTCTCTCCTGGGAAACATTAAGAATTTTTTTGGCATAAGGCTGCTGAAAGAGCTGTTAGGAATCGGGGCGCCTTGGCGTCACACGCTCGGACTAATTACTTTCCGAATGTATTATTTAAAATAACCCTAATCCAGTAAAGTGGGCTGCCTTATTCAGAAACCCGCTGGCTTGTGTGCAGAATGGAATGAAAGCATCCAGAGGACACTGCTCTGTGCGGACACCGGGCTGGACTTGCTTGCTTTGACAATTTAAAGCCATCTGGGAGTCACTGATCTTTCAGGGCAGGAGCTCTGCAGGTTTCTTCTTTCTCTTCCGCTATTTATTGCACTGCTTGAGAAAAATGATCCAGCTGGTGGTTTTGGCCAGCAAACAGGGAGAGCAGAGCCGTCGTCGTCTGGTGCCTGGTCATTCACCTGCAGGAGCCTCAGCCCTGCCCTTTCATTCATTCTCTCTCCTGCCCGCAGGTCGATGGGCTGCTCTTCTACCACAAGCAAACCCACTACACTCCTGGCAGCACCCCGCTGGTGGGCTGGCTCCGGCCCTACATGGTCCCCGAAATCCTGGGGCTCACCGTGCCCGCCACCACGCTCACGGCCAAACCGGACTACGCCGGGCGGCAGCTCCAGCAGATCATCGAGAGCAAGAGGAGTAAAAAGCTGGCGGGGGAGAAGGGCCACCCGAGCGGCGAGGCGGCTGCGAGCAAYGGACACTACGAGCTGGAACACTTGTCCACCCCGCAGCCAGGAAAGCCTCCGGAGGGCCGGGATGGAGCAGTGAGCCAGATGGAGAGTTGAACTGCTGGGACAGGCTGGCTGGGCAGGGAGCAGGGAAAAGGCTCTCTGCTTCTCACTGTGCCTCGTGCTCCTGAGAGGGGGYACAGTAATGATGATAGGAAGGCTTTGTTTAAAGGGCATGACAGTGGAGTATCTTGCCCCAAGTGCTGCTGGATCTTTTTTACTTGTTATTAGGTATTTTTTTGCCAGGATTTCTGTGAGGCCTTAACAGGATTGTCTGGTTCTCCGCTAAAGCAGGCGTGTGTTGGGAAATGATCTGTCCCAGTAGAGTGAGGATGCAGTTCAGCTCCTGACCCTGCTTCTGTTAAAGTCTTGGCAAAATTCCAGCATAGGAACGATGCTTGGACCTCTGAGGTGCAGCTGCTGCTTGTGACCCTTGCAGCAGCCCCACCTTCCCAGCCCTGGAAACTGGGGCTTCTCAGCCTTTGATCCAGCTGTTTTCCGAGGCCTTTGCAGTAAAAGTAGTTACCAACATGAAGTTTGCAGCGAGCTACTGTAAATCCAGAGGCTGGACTTTCCACACCCACGCATTCTTGGGAAAATATAAATTTCCTTGCGTTGCAGCAGGACCTGCCTCGGAACGGGGCTTTGTGCAGCGCAAGCGCAGCAGAAGCCTCTCTCTCCTCGAGGCTTTTCTCGGTGGGGGGAGGAAGGAATGGTTTCGCTCTGAAAAACGCTACCATTGATCGTGCCAAATAAAAGGTTTCTCAGAAAGACAAATTCTTGAGCGTCTTCCTGCTACCTAAGGGTGGATGCGTGCTGTGCCTCCCAAATAGGGATTGAAAAATTGGTTCCAGCGCTGACTGGAGCAGAGGAAATGCTTGTGTGGGTTTAATTCTCCACACACCAARGTACTTTAGTGCCTTCTGCCTTTCTCATCCCAGCCCAATCCCACTTTTTAAGCACTGACTGCTCCCCCTCCCTGGTTTTAGGTGGATGAAATTATAGTTCTCGCTATCCTCAGGTTGGTTTCCAGAGGGGGATTAAAAGGAGGAGGGAGATGAAACATCAGGCTCAAGGCAGTGTTGAGGACCCTCCTCCCAGCTCTCTATGAAATGCCCCTGGAGGAGATGCTGAGAGCGGGGATGGCCACCTGCAGATAGCGGGGGCACTTGTATCCTGCCTTTGCACCCCCCGTTTTTCCCAGAAAAAGCATTTCTGTGCCAAGTGTGTGGGCTATGTGCGACCAGCTGGCTGTGCAGCCGCTATTGACGACACCAGCGGGCAGCAGGAACTGGCCTGGCTGTGAGAGGGGGCTGCCCTCCGCTCCCCWTCCCCGGGAGGGAAGTGGCACCCCAGCCCCGCAGCCTTCGGAGCCATCTCTTTCGAACAGCTGCCTATTTTACTGTTTTCAGTGTTACTTTTTTAGCATGTGAAGCAGCTGGCCTGGAGAAAGAAGATGAACACCTGGGCTGCCTTAACCTCCCTGTCCCTYAAAGGTTCCCTCCTTCAGCCTCCCTGGTTGGCAGACATCTGCAGGGAGAGTGCTGAGCGGGAGACCGCATCCAGCCTCCTGTCAGCGCAGTTTTCCTTCCATCAGGCAATTAAACCCGGAGGTGGGCATCTGGATGGAAGATTTGTGCATCCCTGAGGGCAGAGAAAGCTGGAGCTCAGGTTACTGCCCTCCAGCAGCCTTCCAAGGTCCTCAAGCCGAGGGAAGGAGAGGAAATACAGCCAAAGAGGGGCCGTGTGCTCTGATGGATAGAGGAGAGTAAGAGGGAAGCGACTACAGCTTCCCGCTGGCTCCAGATGATGCTTCATAGTTTCCCTTTTAAAAGCATGAGCTGGGCTGGAGAAATAAATATTTGCGTTACAATTCCTGTTGGGAACGAAAGGCTGTGTTTGGAGAGAGGGTGTCAAACGGAAGTCGCAGGGGCCAGCGCAGTTTGGTGCCGTGACTGTTCTGTTTGCTGGGTGCGATCCCACTCCCAGCTGGAACAGGCAGCAGCTCCACTGGAGGGGTCACCCCRCCGGGGGCTGAAATTTGGCCTGGGGCAGGGGCATCTCGACCTGGAGACGTGGCCTGGGGCTCTGGGGGACAGAGGCAGCCCGGAGCCCTCACCCAGCCCCTTCCCTCTGCCCTTCTTCCATTTTCTCCCGGTTAGGTGCACAGGCTCCGGCAGTGGGCAGGCTGCCAGCACAGTGCTCCTCGGCTGAACAAAATGTCCCCTTGTCCCAGGGCCTGGCTTTTTGGAGCGATCGCTGCTGCGCTTCCCGGGATCCCCGCTCATTCCCGGAGGAGCTTCGGGACTCTCCATCCAGGCGCTGACACCTGCGCTCAGCCGGGAAATGCAGTTTAGGGATGGTAGAGGAAGGAGTGGAAAGAGACGCCTGGAAATCCCGGACTCCCGCTCGTGGGGGGAAGGCTGCGAGGCTGGAATACSGGCAAGGGAGAACGCTGTGCCGGGAATTTTATCCAGTAACAGCGAGGGAGGATGCTGCTGCCGGGAATTTTATCCAGCACCAGCAAAGGGAGGAGGATGCTGCCACCATTTTAGCGGCGGCGCTCCCGCCCGCCGCGGCCGGAACCGGGGCTGGGGGGAGCCGGCGCGGAGCGGGGGGGAGTGACCGGGCCCCTCCGGCCCCATCGCGGCTGCTGCCCCCCCGTTCGCCCCCCGCCGGGGAGGGCTTCCTGTCCCCCGCCCGCCCTGCGGGGTCGGGCGAGCCGCGGGGAGGGGACGGGGAGGAGGGACCGGGGGCTGCGGGCGCTTCCTGCCGCCGCCCCCGCCGGGGCAGAGCGGAGCGGGGCGGGAGCTCGCCTCGGCCCGGCCCAGCCGAGCGGCGCTCCCAGGCCGAGCCAAACTTCGCGGGCGGCTCAGGCATACACACACAGGCASACCGACACACGCGCGCGTTTATATTTTTAATTTTTAATTTATTTTTTTTCCATTTTATTTTCATTTTCTCGGCACTTTCGGCGGGGCCCCCGGGGCGGAGCCGCCCTCGCCGCCGGGAGGGGCCGGTGCCCGCAGCGCCGGGGATGGGCTCCGCCGGGGCGCCCTCCGCCTAGACCGGCCCGGCTCGGCTCGGCTCGGCTCGGCTCAGCCCAGCCCGGCCCGGCGCCCAGCATGGCCGCGGAGCTCAGCGCCGAGGAGGAGCAGGTAGGTCCCGCCGGGCTCCCCTTCCCCGCGCTGGGCTGGGCAGGACCCCGGTGGTTCCTTGCCCCATCGCTCCTTCCCCATCATTTTTTTGGCTACCCCGGCTTGCGAGGCTGTTTGTTCCCAGCGAGGCGGTTCTCCCGATGGCAAGGCCCCCCCACCCCAACCACCCACGCAGCGCCCACCCTACAACCCCCATCCACGCACCCCCCCAGCCCTCCCGCTCGCCCGCTCCGTGGGTGCCGGGGCGTGGGTCCCGCATCCCCGAAGCAGCGTGTCCCCGCTGGCAGCTCCCTGCCGTGGGGATGGTGCGTGGGGATGATGCGTGGGGATGCGTGTACACGCGCTTCCCACGCCCCAGGCCTCCCGTGACGTCCCGGCTTCCTCCGCCGGCCTTGCGTCACCGCGGGAGGATGTTGCTGGGCTCGGGGAACGGGGCCCGGGGGCCGGCCGGAGCGCCTCGGGTGGCCGGAGCAATCACTGTCCGTCCTCTCCTTTGTCCTCTTTCCCCAGGGCTGCCCACGCGTGGCCGCTGGGCTTCCCTCTGGGATGTGGGGATGTGGAGCTGGGAGCGGGACTGGGCGAGCTGCCGGGTTCCCTCTGCCCCTCTCGGCTGTCACACTGGCCACCTTGGTGGCGCTGGGGGCTGCGGTGAGAAGGCTCAAGGTCCTGTTTTCCTTCCAAAATGGTCGGTTTTCCAGCTGGTGGGCTGACTGGTTTTCTCCTTTAAAAATCCTTCGTTTCTACAGRGAGGTTTAGGAGGGTTGGGACGGAGGTGTTGAGGTCTCAAAACCTCTGTGGAAGAGCCCCTCCTGCAGCCTGTACTGGTGCTCAGCAAATGCAGAGCACCAGTTTTTTCCCTCCTGAGAGCAGTACTGCTATCTCCAGGCTGATAAAATCCTGAGGAATGGGGAGTGTTCTTGCCCTCTGTCCCCACAAGTGCCTGAGATTTGCGTTTCTCCTGTGTCATGGAGGGGGCAAAGCTTTCCAGAAGCAGGGTTTTAGGAGACCGTGCYGTGACAAGGAAGGCTGATTTGCAGCAGGAGCAGCGTCCCGAGAGAGGGATCTGAGATGTTTGGTTTGTGCGGGAATATTGGATGGAGAAGGTCAAGGGATATTTGCAATAATTACTGGATYCAGGTTTGGATCATCAGCCTGGGGTGGGGAAGGCTACATTTGGTGCTGCCCTTGGTCGCTTGGAAGCCAAAATAGTGGAARTTTCCCTCWTTTCATGGGTAAGTGGTGGGYTGGGCTGGAACATCCCCTTCCTGCYACCCCTTCATCCTTCTCAGGGCCATCGAGATTTCCTCCACTCTCCCATTACCGACAGCAAACCAGGGAGAAATTTACCCTTCGCCTCTTAGGCCAGCCTTGGGATATCTCCTACTATCTCTCTGCAGCTCCYTCCCCAGCCTATCCCTGAGGAGCCAAACCAATTTTCCTTGAGCTGCAATTTTCACAGATTTATCCCCCACTTCCCCGTGCTGAAGAAGGAGGGGTAGGTTTGCTACCTGGGGGAGGAGGGCTGGAAGAGCCCCCAGATTCCGGTGGCTTTGTCACCACCCTGCYCCGGCGTGGCGGAGCRGGGCCGYGGATGACGCCAGCACTCCAAAGACCAGCATTGTTCCGAACGCCTGGCCACAGACAATTTCACCCCCAGCGCTGCCCAAACAAGCCTTCGTGCCGAAGCTCTGGGTCACAGGCTTTGTTTTTGGCGTGTGGAGCAATCCCTGCTCCGCTGGGATTGACACCTGCATAAATCCATGTGGGATCGGGGCTATGAATGATGATGGGACCCAGTGGAGCGCACAGAGGGGGCAGAGCTGTGTCTGGCATTGATGCTCAGCCCCGTAACGCCCGGCTCCCTGCTGTTGAATGGCGGCACTGGTAAGTTTGGAATTTGGTTTTGTTCCCAGGGRAAGCTGGAATTCATGGCTGAGCTGCCCTGCAAAGCCAGCGCTTGTTCTTGCGTGTCTTCCCCTTGCAAAAAGCCTGGCATCCCTCGTGATGGCTGTGGAATGGGATTGTGTGAAGTGTGACAGGTTAGATGTTAAGGAAAGAGACCCAAAACATGTTGCATCCTSTTCTCATTGCCCTCATGCCCTTTGTGCCCCCTTCCCATCATCTGGGCACCCCTTTCCCATCATCTCAGGGTGTGGTTGCCATCTCAGGCTGCRGTGCTGGCTCTCGTCTCTGTCCAAGGACGGTGGGAGCGTGCCCGGCACTCACCGCCATCCCTGGACCATCCTGCAGCATGGTGGGGAAGGATCATCTCTGCCRTTATTTTGGGTTTGCACCTCCAGCCCTGGATTTTGGGCAGCTGGGCGCCTCAGGGGATGCCTGAGTGGAGGTGTGGCCGTGATGTACTGGATAGGATGTGTTTATGGGTAGGATGTGTTGCTGTGTTAAGGCTAAGGATGGTTCCTGCAGYGCCCCATTTATCATCCCATGGTGCTCACCCGGCCACTCTGAGGGACTCTGGGACCAAGTTAGGGATCTCCTGGCTGGGAGAGAGACCCCTGGGATGAGCTGGGCTCCTTCAGTTCATCCCATGAGAGGGGCTCGCTGTCCTTGCTGAGCCTTGTGCCGCTGATAAACCCGAGCCCTTCGCTTCCTCCTGTCGGAAGTCATTAACACCGACAAGCTTTTCTGGCTCAATAGCTCCCAGTAACTTTGAATAGCTCCCAGTAACTTGGTGCTACTGCCTGACATCCTACACCGCCGCCTGCCTGCACTCCCTGCTGCCGGAGCCAGCCTTCAGCGCTGCCAGTCCCTCCTCCTTCTCCTTGGATGGCATTGCCATCCTCCGCTCTAGGGAGGATGGAAACGGCTCCGTTTTGGGATGTGCCTGGGTGGGAACAAGGCATTTTGGTGGCTCCCTCCGTTCTGCCTGCATCCTTTCAGCAGGATGTGGTGAAAGGCTGGGCTGCGCTGCTGTATCTCCCTTGGGGCTCCTGTGTGGGACAGGGGATCAATCTGCAGCAGAAGGCAAAGCTGAATCCTGGGACCCTCCTGGTCTTGTGTGTCTGCGTGAAACTGGTGTTACTGGGTGAGCTGGTCCATGTGGGCCAAATGTCAGCCCTCCATGTTCTTTACCTGTGTTCTGACAGCCACGTTCTCTGCTCCACAGCAGAGCTGCAGCCCCAGGAGGCCATGGCCAGCTGAGGGGGCTGTGCTGGGGGTGCTGTGTCTGAATGGGATTTTGCTGCCTGTAAAATCCTCCTTTTGCTTCCCCTCTCCCCTCCATAAGTGTCCTCCAGCCTCCAGGCCATTTTTTCAGCCCCTTGCTCCCTTTCCTGTGTGGTGTTTCCCCTGTCTCCATCGCCGCTGCCCTTACCCCTTTTGTTGTGGAGCTCCCCACTTCACCCTGAGGAGCTATTGAGGACTGTAGCTCCAGCAATGACCAGGAGGGATGCTCCTCAGGCACTCTTCCTCCTCCTCCTCCTCTTCTCACCTTGTCTCACCACACACCCCTATTCTTTCCCACAGGCAACCAAGCAGTTCTTGGAGGAGATCAACAAGTGGACGGGCCAGTACAATGTGTCCCCGCTCTCCTGGAATGTGGCTGTCAAGTTCCTCATGGCCCGCAAGTTTGATGTCCTGCGGGCAATCGAGCTCTTCCACTCTTACCGGGTAAGCAAAAGGGGCCGGAATCCCCCAGCCGAGGGCTTCCTGCTCTGCAGAGGATCCCTGCTCCCTAGGACCACCCTCTCCCTGCTCTTTTTGGTTTTTCCCTCTCCCTTACAAGTTTTACCCAGCTGGAAAATCCTTTTTCAGCCAAGGTGGGTCGCCAYGGAGATCTCACCGATCCCAATCCCTTGGAGCAGCTCATGGGGTGCCCTCCTGGCTGCTCTGTGCTGCCCACAGGGCATTTTCCTGTATATTAAGGATATAGATCCATGTACACTTTCCCAACCTGGCGCTGCAAGGCTGCTCCTCCCTGTACTGGGGGTTGTGCTGGAAAATGATCCCATGGAGTGGAGATTCCCTTGGATGGCTGGGTGCCCCCTGGAGCAGAGGTGGGCTGTGCCTGTGCCCCCTGTCACACCACTCCGTGCCCGCAGGAGACACGGCTCAAGGAGGGAATTGTGAAGCTGAAGCCACACGAGGAGCCGCTGCGCTCGGAGCTGCTCAGTGGCAAGTTCACCATTCTGGTAAGTGTGGTGGTCCCCCRTGAGTTATCCCACCGGGTGGCTCATCCCAGCTCCTCTCTGCATGGATGCTGCGGGAGCCTGACCCTGTTTCCTTGGCAGAGCGTGCGGGACCCCTCGGGAGCCTCCATCGCCCTGTTCACAGCCAAGCTGCACCACCCCAGCAAGAGCGTGCAGCACGTGGTGCTCCAGGCACTCTTCTATCTGCTGGACCGAGCCGTGGAGAGGTGAGTCCACCTCTGCTGAGGTGSCCTGTCTCACAGCAGCAGGTCCCTGCAGAGCCCCCTCCCTCCCAGGAAGGTCACTGCTCCCTGTGGCTTGAAATACCGTGAAGTCCAGCCAGTCCTCCTTATGGAGTTGTTCAGCAGGGGAACAAAATCCCCCATGCCCAGAACTGGGCTCTTTGCAGTCCACGCCCTGGGTTCAGTTTAGGGAAGCCCCAGATTCCTGCAGGCTTTAGCTGGGGAGGAGGCAGCCCCRCCATCAGCCAGACGTAATGTGAGCCCTGCCAAAAATACAAAACCGGGACATTCCCCYGCCATTTATCCTGCTGGGCTCTTTCTGTTTTTGACCTTACGCATCATGGGTGATGCTGCTGAGGCAGGCTTAAGGCATGAGCCAGGCTTAAATGAGGATTGTAGGAAGAGGTGGTGGAGCAGCTGGGAAGTGCAGAAGCAAGGTTTGGGTCTGTGAGTCCCCCTGGAAGCATGGGAAGGGATTTTGGGTGGTCAGTGTGGGGACAAGCTGCTGATGCAGGAGCTGAGCAGTTTTGTGCTGTGGGGTTGACATTGCTCTTTCCCCTCTCAGCTTTGAGACGCAGAGGAACGGGCTGGTGTTCATCTACGATATGGCAGGGTCACAATACACCAACTTCGAGCTGGACCTCAGCAAGAAGATCCTCAATCTGCTCAAGGTGGTGTCTGGGGGTTACCCGATGTCTGGGGACAGCATGCGGGCCGCTTGCTTACCAAGAACCCAGAGTCCTGTGGTTTTGGCATCAATTTTCACCCCAGACCACGCTGACCGTGTCTCAGCCGAGGAGCACCAGCTCCAGCCCTGCAGGACATCAGGAGGGCATTGGGAGCCTGCCAGGCTGGACACAGTTGTGGCTGTGGTGTCACGCAGGTGGGAGGGATCAGCTGTCCCCGGGCTTGATTCCTCTCACAGCTGCTGGCAGCGCTTTTGGGAAAACAGATGCAAATTATTTTTTAATCATGCTGGCATTTGATGCCTCCTCCCATCTCGGGAAAAAAATGCAGTAACAGTAAATACTGGCTGGGGCGTGTTCTTTGCATAATCCCAGTTCCCWGTCTTCACCTCTCCCCCGCGGAGCCAAACCCTCTGCCTACCTAATTCCAAGGAAGTAATTTGTTTCCTTATCTGCTCATAAAAACAAGCRCAGCTGTACGTGTGCGAGGCACACTTCGGATGGGGCACTGTCATCGTGGGGTCTGTTTGCTGGTTGTCACCTCTGCTGGGATGTGTCCCTGYCACAGCAGAGTGGATCTGACCCACTCCTGATGCTCACAGGGTGCCTTCCCAGCTCGCCTCAAGAAGGTTTTCATCGTGGGAGCGCCCATGTGGTTCCGTGTRCCCTACTCCATCATCAGCCTGCTGCTCAAGGAGAAGCTGCGGGAGCGGGTGAGTGGGACCCTCGTGGCATGGGACCCCCCTGGCAAAGGACCCTYGGTGGGCAGGGCTGAGGCTGCTTTCCCTTTGAGACACGGGTGCAGAAGCAGCTTGTGCCATTCAGCCCCATCTGCTGGAAGCTGCTAAGCACCAGAACTTCAGCATCCCAGTCCCCATTCCCAGCGACYCTTTCCAACCTTCTTGGAGTCACCCCTGCCTTTCCTGTTCCTCTCACAGGTGCAGATGGTGAAGATGTCGGAGCTGAAGGAACACCTGCCCCGAGAATGCCTCCCTGAGTACCTTGGAGGGTCCCTCAAACTGGACCCTCTGAGCTGGAACTGCCGGTTCCTGCCCCAGCAGAATGGGCACCCCGACCCCCTGGACGAGCTCATCCTGGTGCCGCTGGCGGCCCCCAAAGATAATGGCTCCGTCCATGTCCCTGGACCCAAGTCCATCACCCTCCAGGAGCTGCTGGATCATGTCAGCCACAAGCAGAAACGGGGCATCTACGAGGAGTACGAAGACATTCGGCGCAGGAGCCCGGCCGGCACCTTCGTCTGCTCTTTGTGAGTCAGGGGGAAGGATCCAGGTGCCCCTCTCACCCCAAAAAGCTGGGTGCCCCTCTCCCCACGCTTCTGCTGCTGGAGGTGGTCCACCAGTCTCTTTCGGGTGTGGTGTTTTGAGTTAGCAACATAGAACCCCTGCCTAGGGATGGTGTGAGCCCCCTTTGTGGCTCCTGCAGCCTTTGGGGGTAGCAGGGACCAGGACCTGGCCGGGATCTGCTTCCCGAGGCTTTGGCCAGGTGATGGCAGCAGAGCCCAGGCGACGGGCCCCAGAGGCTCTGGCAGAGGGAGGGATGCTGCCTTTGCCTTCCCTGCCTGGAACACATCCCTGCTTCCCTCTCCCCCGCCTCCTAGAGCACCCTACAACCAGGACAAGAACCGGTACGGGGACGTGCCCTGCCTGGACCAAACCCGTGTCAAGCTGGCCAAGCCGTACAGCCGCCCAGAGGTGAGCCAGCCTGGGATGGAAACTCGCGGTGCTGCGGCACAGCTGTCCCCGACACGGGGTTCTGGAGGCCTTGTCTCATCCGTGCTTTTCTCCCTGCAGCTGACCGACTACATCAATGCGAGCTTCATGGATGGCTACAAGCAGAGGAACGCTTACATCGGCACTCAGGGTATGGCTGAGCCATTAAAGGATTGTTCTGCTCCCGTCCCAAAATGATCTTGTGTCCCCACCACAGCTCCTGATGCACCCGTGGGTTTCACCGCTCTGCCCAGTGTCAGCCACCAGCCCCAGGGGACATCCCAGGAGCAGGGCACTGCCCAGCAGGTCCCCTTTCTCTCCAGGTCTATTTACTCCTCCCTAGGTGTATTTTTTCCCCTCCCAGTCTCCAGCCAGTGGACTGAAGCTTTTCCTGGGACAGAGCGAGTGGATCCATTCTCCTCCATCCACGATAGCAGCTCYCTCCCTCCCCCTGTCCTTATCCCAGGCCTGGATTTGCCCCATCTGCCCAGGCATGAGCAGAAAGGTGGGATCAGYGCTGAGCCATAGGGACCTCGTGCTGCGGGGGACAATCAGTGGTGGCTCCTAGGAGCGTTGGTGGATCCACACCTGGATCAGCCCTTATAGGAAGGGGCTCTGGTTCCCTGTGGGGGTGATGAGGGGCTGGTACACACAGCTGGGCAAAGGGGTTGCTGAAATCCATGAGGTTTTGGGCTGATGTGTGGGTTATYCCTGCAGGGCCTCTAGAAAACACCTACGGTGACTTCTGGCGCATGGTGTGGGAGCAGAACGTCCTCGTGATCGTGATGACAACCCGGTGAGTGCTCACAGAGGGACACAGCCCTCTTTTTTTGTGCAAAATGAGCGTTTTTTTGGTGTGGGATGAGCAGTGCTGGGCTCGGTGCAGTGATCCCACAGCAGCAGTGCCAGCCAGAGCCTCTCAGAGSGGGGACATTGTGTCAAGGACAGACTGTTTGGTCCCTGTGGGATCCCCAAAGGACCGWGGCTGGGGGGCAGGGGAGATGCCCCAGGCAGGGCAAGGAGGACCAGCTTGTCCTTGTCCTGCTCCCAGGCTGGAGGAGGGAGGCAGGAGGAAATGCGGCCAGTACTGGCCCCTGGAGAAGGATTTCCAGGTGTGCTTCGGGGCCCTGACCATCACCAACCTGGGCGTAGAGAACCTCAACCATTACAAGAAAACCATCCTGGAGATCCACAGCTCAGAGGTGCGTGGCCACAGATGCCGGGGGGGAGAATGGCACAGGAGCACCAGGGGTCAGAGGAGGATAGAGGGTGTAACCCGCCTGCTTTTCCCAGACCAGGGAGCGGCGGCTGGTGTCCCACTTCCAGTACCTGAGCTGGCCGGATTATGGCGTCCCCTCCTCTGCCGCCACTCTCATTGACTTTTTGGGGGCCGTGAAGCAGCAGCAGAGGGTGGCTGTCAGCGCCCTGGGACCTCGCTTCAAGGGTCACCCTGGGGGACCCCCAGTCGTGGTGCACTGCAGCGCTGGCATTGGAAGGACAGGTAATGGGGAGGGAAGTTTGGGGTGGTGGGGTCCAGCTGGACAAGTCCAGCTTCCCTGGGGTATCTCCATCCCGTGGACATCTATTCTGTGTGTAAGCTGGTTGACCTGGGACACATATCCTCAGAACTTCCCGCGGCCATCAGACATGGGAGAAGTCCCCAGATGCCCATGGGGCATCAGTGTAGGGCTGAGCACCACCACTCCAGTTCTCACAAGGGGCAGCGATSGTGTCACTTGGTGTCTGATGCCATCCCCACCATCGTCCCCAGGTACCTTCTGCGCACTGGACATCTGCCTGTCGCAGCTGCAGGACGTGGGCACTCTGAACATCTACCAGACGGTGCTGCGCATGCGGACCCAGCGCGCTTTCAGCATCCAGACCCCCGAGCAGTACTATTTCTGCTACACCGCCATCCTCGAGCACGCCCAGCGCGAGGGCCTGCTGCTCACCAACCACAGCCGGGCCGCCCAGGAGAAGAGCTCGCCGGGGCACTGAGACACGCCGCCCTCCTGCAGAGCCCCCTGCCCATCCTTGGGGGCTGCCTGAGCCGCCTCAGTGCCYGCCGGGACTCAGCAGAGCCGTGGGAGCACCTCAGCTGTCAGCACTGCTATGGAACTGTGCCTTATTCAACTCAAATGGTGGCTGCCACTCGCCGGCATGGGGAGGGGCCCTTACTCCTCCCCATTGTGTTTCGGTTGGGTTTGGTYGGTTGGGGAGGTGGTTTGTCTTCTCTTAGAGTTGTTTTTTTTTTTTTAATTTTATTTTTCTGTTGTTGGGACCACCTAAGCTGTACCTAGAGAGGGGCTTTGCAAAGTCCTAGGAAATGTATTCCCAGTCCTGGGGCTGAGGAAGAGGCACGTGCTTTGGTCTCACCTGATGCTCCATCTGTGTGTCTGTATGTATGTGTGTATATAATATACCCCTGCTGTGACCCCCCAGCTATTATATAGATACATATACACAACCTCCCCTTTAGCAGCTCCCAAGGGTCCCCGCTGTCCTGCCAYCTCACTGCTGTGATCTCTGGAGCGGTGAGTTTGGTCCTGGCTCTGTCTTGTCGTCCCTTTCCCCTCAATTCCCCTCACGGGCAGCGTTGCGACCCGGTACCCGCTCCTGTGCCCATCTCTCTGGAAGCACAAGGATACTCGATGGTGTCCTCCGTTTCCTCGTCTCATCTTCCCCGTGGAGACAGCAGCTCTGCTCCTGGGAGGATCTGGAGGATTGGGTTGTCCCAATCCGGGGGGTGCTCAGCTCACAGGCATCTCCTGGCCCTTGGGTGCTGCTGTGGGAGTCACTAGGTACGAGGTGATGGGGACACGGGRACCGACCGGCTCTCCAGGTTGCCCGGCTTTCCCAAGCTGCCACTAGGAACCCGCAGGCCCAGCCCTGCGTTGAGTCATGGGCTGGGAAAGCGCTGAGCAAGAATAAACCCCAAACCCTGGAGAGGCGATGAGCCTCTGCCCTGGCCCCAGCCCCCACTGCTGCCTGGGCCTCCCCAACTTTATACTGTAATAAGCTCTTTGAATGTGTATATTCTTATTTTTTTATAATCTCGGGGAGCGGGGAGGGAGGGCTCAAGGTTTGGGAGTTTTTGTTTTGTTTTCTTTTGGGGTTTTTTTGTGTTTGTTTTTTTTGTATTTAACATTAACTTGATCCAAGCCAGAGCCAGAAGTATTTGTAAATGTTCCTATTTTGCTCTCAGAGAAATCTTTTTGTTGTCATTACTTTCTAGGGAGTTGTTTTGTTTTTATTTGTATCGATATATAAATATACCACCAGTGACCCTCCTCTTTGCTGTCGTGGGGGCATTGGGCAGGACAAAAGAAGGAAGGAATTTAGGGTTTTGCACAGGTTGTGATCTCAAAAAGCAGGCTGGCCCCATCCCTGGCTACACTTGGACTTTGAGGAGCACAGAGCGGTGTTTAGGGGCTGCTCCTGGCCTGGGTGAGGCTAAGACAGAGATAAGCAGGCTGCAGGAAGCTTTCCTGGGCAGGCAGGATAGTGTCTGGAGGGAAGGCAGCACAATGGGCTGGCATAGCTAGGGGGGACACAAGCCACCCTTTTCCCAGGGCCTTGACAAGCCCCAGGACATCAATCTGCCTGGCCATGGCATCTGTCTGGTGCTGCAGGATTTGGGGGTGCAGGCATCTTCTCTGAGCAGGCATGTAGGGCACAAAWATTAGGGGAACTCCCAGGCTGCCAGGCATCCCCAATGCCTTCAGGTCTAAGTGATGCCAGTCCCAGAGCAGCAACCACAGCCTGAAGCTTTGGGATGAGAGAAGAAGAAAGGCAGCTTGTGCAAATGAAGCCCCAGAGCCAATGAGAGAACTCGTGCCCCGGAGGAGGGCAGCTGGCGGGTGTGAAGAGCAGCACCTGTGTTTGCTCAGCTGGAGCCTAAAAAAGTGAGGGGTGCCAGTGTCTGGGACTAGCACAGGGAGAAGCTTTCCCCTGTGCTCTGGGTGTGGACTGGCTTGGCTGTGCCAAACCGAGGTCAGACACAAGCACTGGAAAGCTGGAAAAGAATCAGAAGCAGCAAGGAATCCGTCTGGAAGGGCTGCATGTCCCAGTGCCCAGGAGTTCATGAGAGAGGGGTGTTGAGAGCATCCCTGGGGCTGTGCACAGCCTGTCTGCAGAGTGGTTCTGGTGCAGCTGCAGTGTCCCGGGTACAATTTCCCACCCAGCTGTCTCCCGGAGCAGTGTCAGCCTGGRCAGAGTGACCTCCAGAGTGGTCCTCCAGCTCAGGCTGCTCTKGAGTTTCCCTCAGGCACCCCTAACAGGGTGGCTCCTCTGAGGGAGCCTTCATYCTCTGAAGGAAGGCTCCTGGGGCCCTCCCTCCTCACTGCCAAACTTCTTCACCCTGCTAGGCTTTCCTCTAGGCACACRTGCAGCAAGGGGGTGTTTGCAGTTTGCTGCTAATCCCGTGCTGTCAGCAGCAGCTCTTTGTGGCTCAGCGGGGCTTTTGGCAAATGTTGGGTCCCGATCCGAAAGCTGCAGGTGATGCCAAGTGTCCCACGTGGCCCCACAAATGTGCCCAGCGCACGTCTCTGTTCCACAAGGCTCTGAAACCCCAACCAAGCMAGTTCTGTGCACATGATAAAGGTGGTTGTGCCTTCTAGCTCAATTCCATATGATGTGGGCACAGAGAACCAGAGCGTTTCCAAGAAGATCCATGTCCTGGGCGTCTGGTGGGAATAATCAGAGGAAAGGGATGGAGATCACCAGTGCTGGCTCTGAATAGGAGCAACTCGGATATGCTGCTCCCTTCGAGGAGGGATGAAGATCCCATCTGTGCTGGAGGTGGAGGAGAAGGTTGTAAACCTTTTACATGGAAAAACAACCCAAGCACTCACCCTCCCTTACTATTTCCAGCGCTGCGTTTCTTCTCAAAGCCAGCGTTTTCAGTCCTTTTGCACAACATGATGTTTTGTTCTATCCATTCCTTCTGTGCCAGAAGGTCCTGCTCAGCAGCAGAAATACGTGTTTCTTTGGAAATGGTCACTTCATGCAGCCAGCCAAAAGTTACTGGAAAGAAAACCTTTGTATTGTTTGGAGAGTGGCGGGAAAAATGGGCTGCTGAGTGCAAGCAGCCTGATGCCTACATCTCCTCTTTCCTGGTGTGGCCCAGAGATGGGGATCAGCTACCATCGGCAAAAGTAACAGCACAGACAATTCCAAGAATGAAATCCAAAGTTCTGCTGGAGTTTGGAAACAGGATTTAAAGTCATTGCAGGGGAATCCTAGAGTGGCGCTGCCATCCCTGTGCCCACCTGTTTCATTTGGCTTCCTTGGCTGCATGCACACTGCMTCGCTAATTACGATTACTTTAGAGCTTGTAATTTTGAGCCCTGGGAGTTTGGAAAGAGCCTGGCTGCAAGAGTGCTTCATTTCCCATCCCTTCTGCTTCCTTGCCTCCGGTTTCCAAGGCTCAGGCTCGATATTCAGTAGCTCTGCAGCCCAAACTCCCCTGTTAAACCGAGCTGCAGCTCCCAGCTACRGTGACCCTCCCCTGCTGTCTCTGCTTGTCCTGGCACCACCTCACTGCCTGCTCCCTGCCCAGTCCGAGAAAGGAAACAGCTGGAAAGAAAAAAAAAATAGGAGATTTAGGCCTTGTTTCAGTGAAGATGCTTAACATACGCATTTTAATARAAGCGTGTGGATAGAACATGTGTGTTTATATTTCACGCTTTCTCGAGCACGCTCTAGATGCCCAGATGAGCACTAACGGGCAGCCAGGCCTGSTTCCTCCAGCCTCCGTCTGGAGAACCCAGCAACTCCCTCCACAACTTTCCAAAGGGGGAAAAACACGATAATCGAAGGCATTGACCCCCATCTCCATCTCGTTTTAGCAGAGGGGAACGCGGGCCACCGCCGCGGGGGCACCGGCTGGCCGAGCTCCGTCGCGCCCTCCGCCGTGAGGCCTTTCCCTCACACCCTCCCTTCCTCGCCCCCCCTCCCCCCGTGGGCGGTGCGGCCGTGACGATCGGCACCGCGGGGCCAATCGGCCCCGGGGGGAGTTCCCCCTCCATTCAGGGCTGCTCGCCTGCGCGTTGAGGGTATGTAACAGCTGCTTTCCCCACACACACTTTCCCAGTTTTGCCCCCCTTCACGGGAAGCGCTTCTCGCGGGGCGGGCGGGC